GAGAGGAAAGCCTGGACGATCTCCGAATAGTCGACGCTGGGCAACTCATGCCTTTGCTGGAGAAGCGTCGGATGAAGTCTCGAGAGAGACTCGTCCGCTTCAAGCGGCAGCTCTTAAGATCCCAGAGTTCCTGGCGCACGATGTGCCTAAAAGTTCCCGACGAAGATCCTAACTAAGTCACGCCTACCGTGGATTTGTGAGGGAGGGAGGTGCTCGAGCAGAGCTCACGCCGAGTCCGACAAGAGCAAGGAGGTTCTACGGATGATGAGCAGGTCATCATCCGCGCCACCTAGCTGGCAGGCCAGGCCGTAATCGGCAAGCCAGAGTTCGGGGTTGGTCTCGCCGTTGTACTTCACGAGATTGGTTGGTTGCCGAAATCGGGCAGGGAAAAGAGCAGCACGGATGGCCCTGTTGAAGACCCGAGGGCCTGGTGGTTCAGGGGAAGGACTGCGGTCCTCCCCGCTGTCATAGCGGCCGCCTCGGTGTGGGTGGTAGCCCCGAGCGGGCCCCTCGCTGTCGTGGTGTCGTCGCCTGCTAACCACCTCATGGTTTCCCCGCACCTCGCGTCGGTTGCCGAGGTGGTCTAGAAGCACGGGGGCCATGTGGGCTATCGGTGCTCGAGCGGGCTCGGGACGAGCCGAGGCTTCCCTGTCTTGCCGAGGTGGTGCCGCGGGCAGGTTCGAGACGCCCTCGTGCCATCGGGAGGCGGAACTCTCGGCCTGCTGAACCGCGGCGGTCTCTAGGAGCTCTCGGAGCTCGCCGTGGACCCGCCGCCCCTCCGTGGTAGAAGGCTCGGGCATCGCGCGGACCAGCATTGCCGCGGCCGCGACGTTCTGGCTGGCGCGATTGAAGACTAGGGTTGCTCGCTCCCTTCGTCGTCATGGATGCAATGATGTACATCGCGGGCCCTTCGTCGGGCTCCTTCGCCTTCGCCGCGGCCTCGCTGCTCCTGTTCGAGAGAGTCTCAAAGCTGCTGTAGAAGGAGTCGGTCCTGTTCGACCTTGGCCTGGAGCTCATGGAGCTGTTCCAGGTCTGGATGTTGAGGTCGCGCAAGAGCAGGGTTCTCGTTCCGTGCTGTCGGTAGGACAATGCGAGGAGGTGTGGCGGCGTCTGTACCTAGGCAAAGCGGGGAACGGCTTCCCGCCCCCTCGTCTTCCTCGCCCGCCCTCGGCATCCTGAGCCTGATGTGGAAACACTCGCGAGCGGGGTCGTAGGTGCCCTCGTTGTCGGAGTCGGAGTAGCCGAAGCAGTAGTCGCTTGCGGCCAGGAAACGACGCATAGCCCCGGGGTCATGGAGTCTAGAGAAATCCACTCCGGGCCATGCCTCGTCCTCCTCCGAGGAGTCGGCGTGGGTGCCCAGGTCAAGAGTGAAGCGCTGGCGGCGTTCTGGGGGATCCTTGTGAGCAGCGGCGTAAGCGTAAGCATAAGAGGTGGCGGCATTTCTCAACCCAAAGGGGTATGAGGATGGTGCCGTCGCGACTTTTGCTCGCCAAACCGGCTCTTGAGTGAGGCGGTGGTGGAGCGGAGCTTAGTGATTGGCGCCGCCATGTGCCACCGGCGTTTTTCCTTCGTCCAAGCTCAGGCTAGACAGGTCCCTAGCCAGGGAGCCTGTGCCAACAGCTGGTCGTAGGATGTCAGCGGGGAGCGGCGTGTCGTCCTGGATTCGAGTAGCATTGGGGTGGTCTTGCTCGTGTCGTGCCTGGCGAGCTCGGCGAGAGCGGCCGCCGGTGCGTGACGTCGCCGTTGGTTGGTGGGGCTCAGGGCGTGAGGAGTACCATGTCGTACTCATGCCCCAGAGACATGAACTCTAGGCCCCGAACGAGATCACCGTCTTTGAGACGTAATCGGTCGACGGGTCTCGCCATCCGGAACTTGTTGGGATGACAAAAACCGACACGCAGAGGCCCCTACTGGCGCGCGCTAATCGCCGGTGTTTGGACCGGGGTCCTCTACCAACTAGTGAATTTGAACTGCGTGCCCCTAATCCGGATGGTGATGCAAAGAGACACAAGGTTTATACTGGTCAGCAATCGATGCCCTACGCCCATCTCGAGAGATCGATCTTGTATTCCTTACAATCAAGTACTAGTAGTAGGGGGTTACAAGCATGGGAGAGAGGGAGCTAATCCTGTGTCTCGCCGAGGTGTCGTGGGTTGCTTGAGACGTTGCTCTCAATTTCTTTGGGATGTGTATGTGTGTGAGCTACGTGTGTTACGACTATTTCTCCTTTTTCGCCTCTGAGCTATCCCCTCGTCGCTTCCTTTTATAACCGTAAGGAGGGAGCTAGGAGTACATGAGTGAGCTATACGTGGAGCCCATTGTAGTTCAGATCCTCAGAAAGACATGGTGTTGGGGATGGCGATTGGTACTTGATCGGCGCCGTCTTGGCCAGCCCGAGGTTGTTGAGGTCATGGGAGTCCTTGTTGACGTCTAGTCAGTATGGCTTCCACTGTAGGAGACATGTCGTGCCTTGTGTGTTCTTGACTTGGTGGAGTGCCGAGGCCAGGCGGGTGCTGTAGCTGATCGTGCCGAGGCTTGCTTTACCGAGGCCTCGGAGGTGACCCGTCTGTGTTGCATCGTGCCTGTGGAGAAGTGCGGAGCATGTGTCCACAGGCACAGTAACCCCGCACCATCATCAGATGGGGATGGTAAAATGAGATTTGACCCATTTGTCCCATCGCCCCTATTCTTTGCACTCGCTCGGGCCGTGGGTCGACGTAGTAGGTGTGACCAGGCGCACTTAAACGGATGTGACGGTTCGCTAGAGGGACGGTTGAGGCGGAGGCGACGAGGATGCGGGACGAGCCCGGCCTCGGCCGAGGTGGAGAAGGAATAGTACGTCGAGAGGCCTCTCGCCGGGGTCTCGGACGAGGCGGAGGACGAACGGTTGGTCTTTCATGCTGATTCCGAGACTACTGGGACCCGGACTTGACCCTCCACGCCACTTTGTCCTTGGCGCAGGAGTTAGGTAGCACAGGGCAGTACGGGTGTCAGCAGGGGGCACAGTGGTAGGTAACCCCTGCTGCGCCCCGTCCCCTATCCCGTCGGTCATTCTGCCTGTACTGTGCCAACGTGCGACTAACGTTGCGGGAGTGGTGGGGCGTATTGACTGGACGTGGCGTTTTGTCAGGGGAGTCGGTCGGGTCGGAGGTGACGAGGTTGTTGTCGAGCCCAGCCTCGGGCGAATCGGAGAATTGGTATCCCATCCGAGGCATTGCGGGGCGGGGCCTCGGCGAGGGGGCCTCGGCGAGAGGGCCTCGACGGGGCGGAGGGCTTTGGCCTTTCGTCTGAGGCCTCGGCGCAAGCCTTGGGCGAGTCGGAGAATCTGCCGAGACCTCGTGGTTGTCCTTTGGCTTTGATTTTTGCAAGGCTTAAGCAATATTTTCGGTTCTTGCTTAGGGTACCCCTTCTTGTGGTATCCGACACGTTGAATGTTGATGACCCTATCCGCTACGATTCTGCTCTTTTATGATAAATTTAATAATACTTGTTTGATATCATATACATTAGCATGTTTTATATAAATTTGGTCAAACTTGGAATGGTTTAACTTAGGGCAAAACTAAAATATCGGCCCTTTTGAGGATGGAGGGAGTAGTGTGTTTGGTTACATGTATACACCCTGTCTAGAATCTAAGCTTCTGAGCAAGACTGGCTCCTAGAGATGAGAATGAAATCCATTTGCCCAAAGCTAGGATCATGGGATGGAAACATATTAGCAAGAAAATGATGATACTAGTATGTAATTAGCATATTCTATGGCATATTAGTATATTATAAATATTCTTTCTATTCTAAATTATAAGTTGTTCGGGTTTTGTAAATATATATAATTTTCATGATATATCTTGATATAACGAATAGAAAAGCTAGAATAACTTATAATTTTGAAAGGATGAAGTAATCGATTCAAGAAAAAAAATTAATACTATCTTAGTACTTATTTTTCCATTTCAATCTAATATAACTTATGTAACGCAATCAACCAAATAAACCCTCAACTCACTTGTAAAACAAACAAGAAGCTAATGAATGTCTTCAACCTATCCCTGCACAGTCAGTATCCCCGTTTGCTTCGCTGAAAAAACAAGTCGAAACACTATTCTGACTGATTTGTTGTGAGAGAAAAACACTGTTCCGACTAAAAAATAAACTGAAAAAGATGGATTATAAGGGAAGTGAACAGTGCTATATGCGAGTCAAACTCCCTAGGCAGTGAATCAGACACGCTTGTTTGGTTTACGCTCTGAGAAAATCATCTGACAGAGACAAACAATCTTAAACGGCCGATTTTGAGTGCCTGTAGGCTGTAGTTGGATGAAACTACCTGAGTCAGGAACCTTTAAGACCTCTAACCAAACATCTCCTATATATAGTTGGATTTGTGGATGTGCCCACCTCATTTTCTGAGTGGCGAACGCGCTTAGCTTCCACTGCTCCACAGGCTCGTATCCTCTGCTGCTGCGGTATCCACGGCCAACTCGGCGCAGGCAAGGGCAGATCATCTGTGTATAGCGCTCGCCATCTCTTGATTTTCCCATTGTGCCCTGAATTCGCCGACCAACAGTCCTGTCCGCCATGGATGCGGAGAGAAGCTCTGCGCGCAGCACTACGCCTAGTCGCCGGACGCCGGCGAGGCAGCCACGGACACAGGTACGGGTGCCGAACGGCTGCTAGCTGCCCGCTGAGCCGTCGATTGCCTCGCGCGCGCCTGACCGTGACCGCACACCTCCCCTGTGCTGAGTGCTCCGTCGTCGTCGACTCCGTCAGGTAAGGCCCGACAGCCGGAACACGTTGTGTGTTTCTTTTCAGTTGTTGTTCACTTGTTTATTTGTTCTGTTGGATAGAAGTAAACATGGATTGAAAGGGAGAAGACAATGCCAAGCCTAAATTGAGAGGTATGTACTGGAATTCGCATCAGTTCATGTTGTTCTACACTGTCAATTTGACGAATCACTTGTCCTTCCTCCGCTGTTCGGCTCAGTTGTATCGCCATCGCCATGTCAAGCGACCTCTCCGCACGCTCGTCGCCTTCCTCCTCCACCGCGTCGCCGTCAGACGACTCGCGGCGGAAGGAGCAAGCACGACACGCGACCAACGCCAGCGGCAGCAGCGGCCGCCGGGGGAGCCGCTGGCGGAGCCGGCGCGTGCAGTGGCGCCTGATGGGGCTCGGGCTCGGCGGCGCCGGCGCGGCGGCGTGGGCGCTGGACCCGCGGGCGAGGTGGGTCCGGGACTGGAACCGCGCTTACCTGCTGGCGTGCGCGGCGGGGCTGATGGTGGACCCGCTCTTCCTGTATGCCGTGTCCCTGAGCGGCCCGCTCATGTGCCTCTTCGTCGACGGCTGGCTCGCCGCCGCCGTCACCGCGCTGCGCTGCGCCGTGGACGCCATGCACGTGTGGAACGTCGCCACGCAGATCCGCCTCTGCGTCGCGCGCGGCGCCGGCGCCGCGCCGGGCAGTAAGCGCGTGGCCGGCGGCGCGGGCGACGAGGAACAGCAGCAGCAGCAGGGCGCCGAGGAGGACGACCAGGAGGCCGCGCGCAAGCTCCCCGAAGACGCGACACCCAGGAAAGGGTTGCTGCTGGACTTCTTCGTCATCCTTCCCGTGATGCAGGTGCGGTGCTCTGCTAGTTTAGAGTATTCATTCATTAGTCAACTTGCTTGCTTTTCGACCTGGGTGATTGACTAATCCCTCCCGTCTTAAAAAATAGAGTCGCTATAGAACTCGTGTGATCAAATTTTTTTAACTTTGATTATGTATATCTTCAAATAAGTTTATTATAAAAGTATATTTAACTATCTGCCTAATGATACTAATTATATAATATAAATATTAATATTCTGTTAAATATATTTGATCAAAATTAAAAATTATTGACTTTTTGAAAAGCACGAATGACGTTTTTTTTTGACAGAGGAGCACGCAGTAGGCACCGATTGGACTAGCCATTACGAGATGCCTGAGCTTCATCCATGGTTTGGTGGTTTGATGTTGCCGGTAGGTAATAAATTGGATATATTCTTTGACAGTAAAATCAAATCACCATTAGAACATTACCAATTAGGAATTTAGGAATTTGGCTCTTGGCATAAAAAAAAGTAAGTAAATGTCTTGAACCGTTGGCCACTTAAAAACATACTACTAACTTTCAGCGAAATTTAGAGATCTTCATATTGAGTTTAGAGTATTTTTTTGTTCTAAGAAAAGCAGGAAGAATGATGTAGCTGAAGAATAATTCAACAGGACATCCACACATATATAGTTTGAGACTGATCTACAATCATGCATTGTACTGTACGTGCTAACGTGCGAGACTGGTCTCGCCCAAATTAAGTCGCCATCCACACAGGGCACAGTTTGAAGTTTTCCAGCTGAAAAATACTGTTGACCGATTTACTATTTTAGAAAAATAATGTTCCAAAAATAACGTCTCGGCCGCCCAGACTGCACTGCACAGAGCGGTGACACGAGTGGGGCCTGCGTGCCTTAGCTTCTGCTTGTCCTGACGCACATTATTATTTGGTGCCGCATCTGACCGCGTCCGTGGCCCAGCATGCTCGGGCTGCGCGCAGCCATTGGCACGCACGCGGGCCCGTGTCCGTACGCATCGTCCGGCCAGGCATGGTCACGAATGGGGCCAGACGCCACGGCCCACGGCCTCTTCATCTTGCCACCAACCCGGCCGGCCACGGGCCACCAGACCGCCATAGATTTTGTTACTCGTTGGTAGATTCAGTGAAGAGTCTATCTCCTACGTAACCATGCATTTTATATACACATGAATTTTTTTTACATCATAGGATTAAAATTCAACAGCCTCCATCCTTCTTCTACCTTCAGCCTTCAGCCTCCACAGATCACATATCACAATTTTTTTTCTATGGAAGGACAAATCACAGATCCGCTGCCGCTGCCGCCGCCGCCATTGCCATGGCCAACGCGGGCGCGGGGGCGAACTCGCCGGTCGCCGTCACCGGCGCCGGTGGTCATCGGTGAGAAAGAAAGAGGAAGAGAAATAAAAAAAAAATCTATATGTTTTTTTTTCTAAAACACATGTGTGTTGTGTAGTATTTCTCGGTGAAAGCGTGTCGTGTGTTCCGGTGTCTGCTGGCCTGTTTGGAGTTCTGTCCTGACGGTGTATATGGCGCATGCATGCAATGCAGGTGGTGGTGTGGGTTGCGGCGCCGGCGATGATCCGCGCGGGGTTGACGACGCCGGTGATGACAGTGCTACTGGTGTCGTTCCTGCTGGAGTACCTGCCCAAGATCTACCACGCCGCGCGCCTGCTCCGGCGGATGCAGGGCCAGTCGGGCTACATCTTCGGCACCATCTGGTGGGGCATCGCGCTCAACCTCATGGCCTACTTCGTCGCCGCCCACGTACGTCGTTGGATGCCATTGCCAACCAGCATGCATGCAGTACTACTCCAGTCGTAGCTAGTAGCTAACAAAAAAAACTCGCTCCGCTCGTGCTGAGATGTCTTGCAGGCCGTGGGCGCGTGCTGGTACCTGCTCGGCGTGCAGCGGGCCAGCAAGTGCCTGAAAGAACAGTGCCTCCAGGCGCCCGGGTGCGCGCGCGGCAGCGGCAGCGCGGTGGCCTGCGCGGCGCCGCTGTACTACGGCGGGTCCCCCTCCTCCGCCGGGATCGACGGCAGCGGCGACAGGCTCGCCTGGGCCCGGAACGCGCAGGCCCGGGGCACGTGCCTGGCCAGCGGCGGCGACAACTACCAGTACGGCGCGTACTCGTGGACGGTGATGCTGGTGGCGAACCCGAGCCGGGTGGAGCGGATGCTGCTCCCGATCTTCTGGGGCCTCATGACGCTCAGCACGTTCGGCAACCTGGAGAGCACGACGGAGTGGGTGGAGATCGTGTTCAACATCGTCACCATCACGGGGGGGCTCGTCCTCGTCACCATGCTCATCGGCAACATCAAGGTGTTCCTGAACGCGACCACGTCCAAGAAGCAGGCCATGCACACGCGGCTCCGCAGCGTGGAGTGGTGGATGAAGCGCAAGAACCTGCCGCGGAGCTTCCGCGCCCGGGTGCGCCAGTTCGAGCGCCAGCGGTGGGCCGCCACGCGCGGCGTCGACGAGTGCCAGATCGTGCGCGACCTCCCCGAGGGCCTCCGCCGGGACATCAAGTACCACCTCTGCCTCGACCTCGTCCGCCAGGTCCCCTTCTTCCAGCACATGGACGACCTCGTCCTCGAGAACATCTGCGACAGGGTCAAATCCCTCATCTTCCCTAAGGGAGAAACCGTGAGCATCTCATCAGCTCAGTCTGAATGAATGAACATCGATGACATCTAATCGACGACCACTGACATCAACTGTACATGCAACAACGTGCAGATCGTTAGGGAGGGCGACGTGGTGCAGCGGATGCTCTTCATCGTGCGGGGCCACCTGCAGTGCAGCCAGGTGCTGCGGAACGGCGCGACGAGCAGCTGCACGCTGGGTCCCGGCAACTTCAGCGGCGACGAGCTGCTGTCGTGGTGCCTGCGCCGCCCGTTCCTGGAGCGCCTCCCGACGTCGTCGGCGACGCTGGTGACGCTGGAGAGCACCGAGGTCTTCGGCCTGGACGCCGCCGACGTCAAGTACGTGACGCAGCACTTCCGCTACACCTTCACCAACGACAAGGTGCGCCGCAGCGCGCGCTACTACTCGCCGGGGTGGCGCACCTGGGCGGCCGTCGCCGTCCAGCTGGCATGGCGGAGGTACAAGCACCGCAAGACGCTCTCGTCGCTGTCCTTCATCCGGCCGCGGCGCCCGCTGTCCCGCTGCTCGTCGCTCGGGGAGGAGAAGCTCCGCCTGTACACCGCCATCCTCACCTCGCCCAAGCCCAACCAGGACGACTTCTTCTAGCTAGCTAGGCCGTCCCAGGCCGCCGGCTTCTTCGTGAGAACGACGACGTGGATGACCTGTTACTCGCACGGCACGAGACACAGAGCAAGGCGTACAATATGCACGTATCCAATGCAAGTTCCGATGGGGAAACCACGAATTTCATTCCTCCACAGAAATTCACTTCTATGCAACGCCGCAAGGAGCGTGCACAGCCACTTTTAAACTCTATTTTTTTTCCTTGTACATTTGCGTTAGAAACCTTGTCCGTAGTCATGTTCTTTCACCTCTAGATTGGCTGCACGCATATATTTGCACACGATTATATCGATTTTCCTAAGTGTGGAAAGTTTTAGAGTTGTTGAAGAACGGTTTTTTTTCAATCTTACCAAAAAAATAAAAAATAAAATTGGAGCTGGGTTTTCAAAGCTCTTGGAGATGCTCTAATATGATTTGACCAAGGTGTCTTGGGCGGTGACACCGCCACCGTGACTATTTCCCACCCTAATCCATCTGTGATTCTCCTTCAGTGCCAAGCGAATGACCATTTGTATCAATAAGGCAATAACTATGTCTTCAGGCCACATGACGAACTGCATGAACAGACTTAGCGGAAGATGACACTTAGAATTTAACTAAAAAATGGTAGTTACAAGCATAATTACAAATTAAATGTAGTAGATAGAAGTATACCGATCTTCCTACGTTGCCTCTTTTAATTGCTCAACAGCTAGGCATGCATGAGGTAACTTGTAGGACCGGTCAATTGTAGCCATTAAATTGTTAAGGTAAATTGTTGATCTTTCTCTACACAATAGATGATTTTCGACTCTAATGAGGTTGATGTATGCATCCATGACCTGCATTCAGAAGTTTAGTACATCAACATGATGCACATTTTTAGTATACGTGAACTTACAACATTGCACAAGTGGTTAGTAGGGCTCATTAAACATTTTAAGAGGTAGAAAGAAAGAAATGTGCCTCCAATCTCACAGACTATTGTTTTTATCATTTGTGTTTTAACTGATTTTATAATTGTGGCATCTTCTTCATCGCAAATATAGTCTATAGTTTAACAAAAATGTATCAACTTTAACTGTGAAAATTAGTGAAAAGGTAGAAAATGCAATGTAGGTTGTGCAGGTATCGAGCTTGTGCATCGACTAAATCAATGTTGTATTTTTTTTGTTTGTTGTGTTGAGAAAGTTCTAGCTCACATTTTTCCTTGTCATTAGCGTTTTCCATCTTTTCTAAGATGGTCGGCGATGTCCGGAATAAACATTTGGGTGAGCTTATCTCTTCATTTGATGTTTCATTGAAGAACCAATGTCTGCAATGGGTGTTTTACAATCATTTTGCCATGGTTCAGAAGAATGCAAACCAACCTGTGATTTTTATACCATTTTCCAGATACATTTGTTTTTGCACCATGGCAAGTGAAATAATAATAATAATAATCACAAATATGCACCAAAGCCCTTACATACAAATAATGATTACAAATGAAATTGTTCAACTACCAAACCAAACATGGGGGTTTCTATTTTTTGTTCTTTCATCCAAGAATCTATGTCCAGAATCGATATTTTAGAATCCTCAAATAGGAGAAACATCATTCAGGGCTAACAATAGGCCATTTTTAGAAGAAATCACATCATATCCTAATTGTTGGATGTGTTCTCTCGAAGACATATATTTCCTCTGGGTAAGTTACATACGATTAATTAATATTTAGGTCTTTTTTTATATTTGATGATGTAGATGCAACGGAAAAGATTTGAGCAAAGCGAGGGATATGCGCCCTTCCCTTTAAGAAAGATTGCCAGCTAATTTATCGTATCTTTGTGAATTGTCAAGATCGTTTTATGCATCTTGAATTTCAAAGTTGACATGGATTGATTTGACCTAAAACCCAAATCAGGCTACCATCTAACTAGGGCCTTGCTTAGATTCCAAGTTTTTTCACTCTCTCTCCGTCACATCAAATCTTTGGACACATGTATGGAGTATTAAATATAGATAAAAAAAATAACTAATTACACAGTTTGATTGTAAATTACGAGATGAATCTTTTGAGCCTAGTTAGGCTATGATTGGACAATAATTATCAAATACAAACGAATACTACAGTATCAAATACTAATTTCCAACCATCATCTAAACCAGGCCTAGGTCGAGCAATGTGACATTGTGACGTGACCCAGCTGTAGCGAGGAAGCGTGTGCTAACCCCGTCCATCCATCCACCACCACCATGGACCACTGTTAAACCCTGTCTGCAGAGGGTAGATGGGGATGCGCACTCCACTCCACTCCTCTCGCTTTCCCCTCCACGGCTCCACCGACCCATCACGAAACCGACCTCCCAACCCGCCGGAATCGCTTGCCAGAGTCTCGCCCCGCCCGCCGCCGCCCGCTCGCCGCGGCAGCGATACGCTCTGCCCCGGCCAAACAGCTCCCGACTGGGTTATTCGTTCTCCCCGCGTGCTCTCTCTCGATCTATCAGCGTGACGACTATACCGCCGCCGCCGCCCTAGTCCAGATGCCCAGGTCTTCGTTGGGCCCTTCTCCGGCAACGAGCACCTAACAGGTATGCTCGCCCTTTCTGTTCCCTTCCTGCTGTGCGAAACCGAGCAGCACCCAAAGCCTAATCTAAGCTACTATTTGGCTATTTGTAATCGGACCTGATCTAGTTGCAAGTGAATACCTGCATTATTCGTACTAGCTTCGATTTTGATTATCGGGTGTGCATGTGTACACCCATGTCCTTCATGGAGTTGGTTAAGTGTTAGCATCGCATGGGTGCCCTTTTTGGATTGAAAGTATGTTAGTTCTCCGCTATAGCACGTAATGCCGGGCTGCTGTCAACCTGTTTGGTTGAGTGCTATGAGTGAGCCTGCGAATGGCCCTTTCATAATAGCTTTACCGCAACAGTTGGAGCGTCCTTTTATACAAATCATTTGCCCATCTCAGTCAGATTGATGCTCATAAATGAAAAGGAATTCTTTATTTATTTATATTTGTTGGCACTGGTTGATGTGCATAAAAACAGGGAGGTAAATTGGAGACGTAGCTTTAAAGCGCGAACTAGTCAAGTCTTAATGTAAATTTGTCGTAGCAATTGTTAAGAAGACATTGTATTGGATTATGGTAGGCTTTAGCGCATTTATTATTTAAGAAAACAATTCTTGCATAATCCACTCCTGGTTATAGTTTGTTTCCCTAATTTCCTGTTATAGATTTGCAGCAGCAAACATTGGAGACCTTTTCTTTCGAGTTGTGCTAATACCGCAATATTTACAATGAACCTCTAATCACTCAGTGCAGTCTTACTTCTCCCATCATGTGTGCAGTTTAGATGATTCTGCTGGTGCCACGTGTGTGAAGTTCTCAGGGCACAGGGTTTTTATTATAGCCATACACTATGGAGTGTTCCAATTCAACTAGTTCCCAAGAGCATCATGTAAATGGAAAGCAGAATCAAGTGCAAACCATTGATCCTCCTAGTCCTTCCATTGTTGAAATGGGACCAAGACACCGCCCATTGACTTTCATGAGAAGATCCCGTGGAGTATTGAGTTTGGTGATCATGATATTAACAGCATTTTTTATGATGGTTTACCTGTCCCCTGTAACTACTTTCCTTGTGCGGTTGTTCAGCGTGCATTACAGCAGAAAGTCTACATGCTTCCTGTTTGGGATGTGGTTAGCCATGTGGCCTTTTCTGTTTGAGAAGATTAACAAGACCAGGTTTATTTTCTCTGGTGAAAGTGTGCTAGCAAAAGAGCGTGTTCTGTTATTTGCTAACCACAGGACTGAGGTTGACTGGATGTACTTATGGGATTTTGCATTGAGGAAAGGCCGCTTGCAGTGCATCAAGTATATCCTTAAGAAAAGCTTGATGAAGTTACCTCTTTTCAACTGGGCATTTCACATTATTGAGTTTATTCCGGTTGAGAGGAAGTGGGAGATTGATGAAGCAATAATCCGAAGCAGGCTTTCTGAATTGAATAACCCAAAGGATCCCCTTTGGTTGGCAGTTTTCCCAGAAGGGACTGACTATACGTAAGATCTCTTCCTATTCTTTCTTGCCACATGTTTGCCTAAATCACTGGAATGATTCGGGTTTGCACTCCAGGCTTCTGGAAGAATATTTTGAATCATTCACCTTCAATATTTTTTTTTTGACTGCTATGCTTCACCTGTCCTTTTATCTATCTGTATTCTAACTAGTGCTAATGTTAATATCTTAGTGAGAAGAAGTGTATCAAAAGTCAAGAATATGCAGCAGAGCATGGTTTGCCTGTTCTGAAAAACGTACTCCTTCCCAAGACAAAGGGTTTCAATTGCTGTTTGCAAGTGCTGAGGAGTACCATAGATGCTGGTTAGTGTTCACACTGTCCTTTTGAAATATTTTCTTCTTTATTGCAGCATCGCAGACCACCATTTGTTGCAGCCATGTTATCAATTTTCACACCTTACAATGGACTCTGCTGACTTGTTCAAATCATTATTGACTGGACTACATGGTTGTTGTTTTTTGTTTGCAAAGCCTCTGTTAATGGCACTTGCTAAATGGAAGATGAGCATAGCGCAGTTGGTCACGCCCTTGAGATGTGTGTGAGTGCGCTTGGGAGAGGCGGGGGGTCATATGTATACCCCTCAAGAACACAGCATGTACGGTATGTGTACACAAAAAAGGCTATAAACTCTAATAACCTTGCTAGAGTTGTGGCGGGTTTGCTGCCAGCCAGGGTACCCCAGTCTCCATACATCCTGACACAGTTGCCTAATGTAGACTCTGGCCCTTAATGGTAGCTGCCAGATAACATTCCAAATGCACGCTAGGTCAGTATCCTGGAAATGTTACTGTAGTAGATGAAACTAAACAACAACAACAATAACAACAACAAAAAATCCCATGCAATTTATATTTAACTGGATGCCTGAAGCATAGGCTGATATGTTGTACACCATTGAAAGTTGTGAATTGAAAGACTTCTATAACATTGTAGTATTTTTCAGGAACTTGACATTATACTTTGGTTTAGTTCACTCTCGATAGTTTCATTTTTTTTTTTGCTATCGGATTCGCCCTTTAGGTTCTGTTTCTTATTTGGTTCCATGACTACTTTGGTATATTTATGGATGTATGTATCTGGCAGTTTTAATACTCTGCAGTATTTTGGTACAAAAAATTGTTCTTTTGGTTGCTTGACCCGCGCCTTGTTGATTAATGCAGTTTATGACATCACAATCGCTTACAAACATCGACCGCCAACTTTTCTGGACAACGTTTACGGCATTGGTCCTTCCGAAGTCCACATCCACATCACCAGTATCCAAGTTTCTGACATACCAACATCCGAAGACGAAGTAGCTGACTGGTTGATAGAGCGGTTCAGGCTGAAGGACGAGCTGCTGTCCGATTTTTCCACACTAGGTCACTTCCCCAACGAAGGAACCGAAGGGGATCTGTCAACAACCAAGTGCCTTGCGAATTTTGTGGCAGTAGTTACCGTCACAGGCTTCCTCATGTACCTAACCCTGTTTTCGTCCGTGTGGTTCAAGGTTTTCGTAGCGTTTAGCTGTTGTTTCCTTACGCTCGCTACCTGCTACTCTATACATCTGCCCCAGATGATAGGTTCATGTTCCCCTGAGAGTACCCATGCGAAGAGAGCTTGAGTGTAACATGTACGTTGTAACTGAAAGATGTGTATCAGAAGAGAATTAGTACTGCCTGGGTGCAGCTTTGTATCACCACGTTGCTGTGTATGCGCATATATGTGTTGATGAATGTGTTTTGTTACCGCCATCTTTGTCTGGTTCAAGCAATTGGGAGTATTCCTTGCCTGGAGTTTTGACCTTCTGAACTGTGTGCGGCCGCTGAGGTACTTGTGAGTTGTGACTGTCCGATCGCCGTGCGCCTGGTTGCCTGGTTCGTCTGTTGCTTGGGAGTGGTTGATGGAACGTTCACGCTCAAAACCAGGTCTGGCTTTTCTTCCTCGATTTCCATTTCGCAAAATACGATGGATATGCTGGTGGGACGGTGGGTTAGTTCTCCAGCGATTAGTCATCTTCGCGCGTTTCTTGAATAACACATATACTTAGAAAAATCAAAGTTGCATCTTGGTAACCGAGTCGTTGTAGTATAGTGGTGAGTATTCCCGCCTGTCACGCGGGTGACCCGGGTTCGATCCCCGGCAACGGCGATTTAATTTTTTGCGGGCTGTATCGAGTGACTGACTCTTCATCAGTTTCAAAACGTAGTGGCGCACAGAGCTTAACGGATTACATAGATGCCAAGCGATATATGGTCTTCTTTTTGCCAAGAATATATGATTATTTTGTTCTGTAAAAACATGTATTTTTAGTAAACTTTGGTTTACTTTACTTTCTAGAGCAGTGTCACCGGGCTACTATACTACCTATATATCAAATTTGTTTTTTTTTTTGCGGGGTGTATCGAGTGACTCTTCATCAGTTTCAAAACGTAGTGGCGCACAGAGCTTAACGGATTACATAGATGCCAAGCGATACATGGTCTTCTTTTTGCTAAGAATATATGATTATTTTGTTCTGTAAAAACATGTATTTTTAGTAAACTTTGGTTTACTTTACTTTCTAGAGCAGTGTCACCGGACTACTATACTACCTATATATCAAATTTGGTAACTGGTGGATACAAGGACTCGAGTCGCCGGTGATCGTTGCGCTCGCCGCCGCCGCCGTCACCTTCAGGTGCGGTTCAGAGTAGTGCCCAAGTTTGAGTTCTCTCGTTCCTTGCCGCTACAAGAAGGAGCCAGGAGGCTGCCTCCGACATGGGCCACGCAGGGCCTGGGGTTTACTTGGCCCATTCCGGTCCAGAGATCTTCAGGTTTGGCTTCCTGGGCCGCGCTGCTCTCCCATGGGCCGCTTCCGCTTCATCTGATGTCGACGCCTTCTCCCGCGCAGCTTCTTTCTTCAGTCTTCCTCCAACAGCTTGGGCTTCGTCAGTGTAGGCAGCAGCCGGAGTTGCAGCTGTGGTACCGGCGGCTTTAGAGGTCCCGGCGGTGACACCCCCCCCTTCTTTGAGAACCAACTTGACCCCAAGCTAGTGCGCGCGGGAACTATTGGCGTAGTGGTTCCTCGTCCTCCCAGGTTGCCAACGAAGATGGAAGGTAGGACCAAGGAACGAGCAACTGAGACACCGTGTGGTCGCGATCTCTCCAAAAACGACGGCCAAGAATAACCTGGGGAACCTGCAGCTCATGGTCAGAGTCAGGAAGCTCATTTACCTGTTCAGAAGCAGGAATGACCTTCTTGAGTTGCGATACATGAAAAACAGGGTGGATGTGACAGTCTGGTGGTAGGAGCAGACGATAAGCCGAGGCACCAATACGTTCTGTTATCTGGAATGGTCCAAAGAAGCGGAATGCCAACTTATTTGAGGAACGAGGAGCTAATGAGGTTTGCACATAAGGTTGAGCCTTGAGGTACACTGATTCACCAACACTGAAAACTCTATCAGTCCTATGTTTGTCGGCTTGGGATTTCATCTTGGACTGAGCCCTGATCAGGTGTTGCCTGACAAGTTGCTGAATGAGCTCTCGGTCTTGCAGCCAGTCCTGGAGTTCAGCAGACTGACAAGCCTGATAGATGTTAAAGCCAAAATGGCGTGGCTCATATCCATACAAGACTAGAAAGGGACTTCTGCCCAGAGAAGAGTGGAAAGAGGTATTGTACCAATACTCGGCCAAAGGCAGCCAATGGGACCATTTGGTTGGACAAGCATGTACGAAGCAGTGAAGATAAGTTTCCAGGCATTGATTTACTCTCTCCGTCTGCCCATCCGTCTGTGGGTGATATGCACTGCTCATCCTCAGATCAATACCCAAGAGTTTGAATAGCTCCTGCCAGATGTTGCTGGTAAACACCTTATCCCTATCAGAAACCATAGATGTTGGTAGGCCATGAAGCTTGAATACATTGTTGAGGAAAGTAACAGCTACTTGCAGGACGGTAAAAGGGTGAGATAGTGGCAGAAAGTGAGCATATTTTGAGAATTTATCCACAACAACTAGTATGCAGTTGTATGACGCTGACTTTGGTAGCCCTTCAATAAAATCCAATGTAACCATCTGCCAGGCTCCCTCAGGAATTGGTAAAGGAGCAAGAAGACCAGGATAAGCTACTCTTTCTGACTTTGCCTGTTGACAGATTGTGCACTGCTCCACAAATTGTTGCACTGAGTGTTTAAGCTTTGGCCAAGCAAAAAGATGTTTCACCCTTTTGTAGGTAACTTCATACCCTGAATGTCCTCCCACTGCACTAGTGTGCAGGGCTGAGAGTAGTTTGAACTGCATAGCCTGGTTCGCACCAACTCAAAGCCTTCCCTTATACTTGATGAGACCATCTTTGAGTGAATAATGACCAGAGGGAGATGATATTGCTAACTCAGCAAGGAGTTTTCTGTAGTGTGGGACAGAATCATAGGCCTTATGCACATCTTCTAACCATAATGGTTTAATGACAGAGACAACAGATATATCAAAGGTAGGAGATGTGGGAAGTCTTGAAAGTGCATCTGCAACCTTATTGTCACTGCCTTTCTTATAGATGACTTATAAGTCATTCCCATAAGCTTGGTGAGTGCTTTATGCTGCCAAGGCGTAGAGAGTTTTTGGTCATCTAGATGTGTCAAGCTTTGTTGGTCAGTAAGAATGACGAAAGGAGATGTTTGCAAATAGTGCCTCCAGTGATCTATAGCCATCAAAATAGCCAAACACTCCTCATATGTTGATAGGCCTTGTGCTTTAACCCCCAAAGCCTTACTGACATAAGCAATAAGGTGACCCTACTGCTGAAGTACAGCCCCTATGCCTGTAGCTGAAGCATCTGTTTCAATTATAAAAGGTAAGGCAAAATTTGGCATTGCCAGAACTGGAGCGGAGATGAGTGCCTTTTTGAGGGCCTGAAAAGAAGCTTCTGTAGCTGATGTCCAGACAAAAACTGTACCCCTTTTGAGAAGATTTGTCAGGGGTTTACTTATCATCCCAAATTGAGGCACAAACCTCCTATAGTACCCTGCCATGCCCAAAAAGCTTCTAAGATCCTTTCCATTCTCAGGCCAGTCCTTGATAGTGCTAATCTTTGAAGGGTCTGTAGCTACACCTTGTTCACTGACAATGTGACCCATATAGCTTAATTGCCTTTTTGCAAAAGAGCATTTGGAAATCTTGACATGGAAGCCATGCTGTTGCAAAAGAGTGAGTACAGCTTGAAGGTGTCCCAGATGTTCTTCCCAAGTCTTACTGTAGATAAGAATGTCATCAATAAAAACCACTACACATTTTCTCAATAGTGGATGCAGTACTGTGTTCATGATAGTTTAGAAAGTAGCAGGACCTCCAGTAACTCCATAGGGCATGACTCTGTACTCATAATGGCCATTATGTGTTTGAAAGGCTGTCTTGAATTCTTCTCCAACTGCCATCCTTATCTGATGAAAACCAGAACACAGATCAAGGAAAGTGAACCAGGTAGCTCCTTGCAACTCTTCTAATAATTCCTCAATTATAGGCAGTGGGTACTTATTTTTTACTGTCATTGCATTTAGGCGTCTATAATCAACACATAGCCTCCAATCTCCAGTCTTCTTTCTGACAAGCAAGATAGGTGAGGAATAGGGGCTGGTGCTTTCCTAGATCCATCCTTTTTCTAGCATTTCCTTGATCTGAGTTTCTATCTCTGTCTTCTGGGTAGGGTTATATCTGTAGGGCCGTAGACAAAAAGGTTGAGCACCTTCTAGCAGGGGTATCTTGTGATCCCCTAGCCTGGGAGGAGGCAACCCGGTTGGTGGTTCAAAGACGGGCAAACTGTTGTAAGAGTTGTTGTAAGTCCTCAGGCAGGCTATCTTCACTATCAGCAATAGAATCAGGAGAGGGTGTGGACTGCAACCGAACCACATAAAGGATGGAGTCATTCTTATCAAAAGCTTGCAGCTGGGACTGAGATACAGGAGGACTAATAGTAACCCCTGATGTCAGACCTTGTAACTTAATCAGTTGACCTTGGTACTGAAATTGCAGCCACCTTTCAACCCAGTGAATTTCCATAGGGCTATTGGATTCTAACCAGTCCATTTCCAAAATAACATCATACCCACTCAGAGGAATGATCTTCATTGTTGTACAGAAGGTATGGCCCTGCACTGCCCAAAGTTGCTGAGATAACTCATGAGTGCAACTAATAACTCCTCCATTTGCTACCTTCACTGTCACAGGTTGAGGCAAGGGTTGTCAGGTGTCAGGGACTGATAAGAGCAGCTAGCTAATCATCCACAAAACTATGAGAGCTCCCTGAATCAACAAGCATGAATACTTCCTTACCATTCAAGTGATCCCTCAGCCTTATGGTTTTGAACCCTTCCGTACCATTCATAGCTTGAACAGATATTGCCATAAGATCATCTCCAGAGTCAGAGTCATCACAATTGGTTTGATCTGTACTCTCCCCTTCATCAGAAAACCACTTCCACATTTCTTCAATAGCATGCAGTGAAACCTGTGCCGGGCACTTGTGCTGAGGGCCCCATTTCTCCCCACACTTGAAACACAGGCCTTTAGCTCGCCTGTAAGACTTCAGAGCTGAGAGTTTATCTTCTCCTGTCTTGGTTCTGGTACTATCATTATGCTTCTTCTCATCTGGAGTCTTGGTGAAATTTGGAGCTTGAGTATAAGGTGTCCTTGACTGCTCTTGAGAAGTCTTTTTGGGATATAATCCCAATTCACTCTTCCTTGGAACAAGGTCTTGAGTTGCTTCTTCCTGCAAGAGTGCCAAGGAACTAGCAGCATCCAGATCTTAAGGTCTATGAACCATAATAACAGCCCTAATTTCTTTTTTTAAACCATCAACAAATCTATTGGTGATAACAGAAGGGGCTATAGTGGAATCATGGGCAAGTAGTTGTTGGACAATCTCACTGAACTGTTCTATGTACTCAGAAACAGTAGCAGTTTGTTTGACGTGGAAAAAAATGTCTAAGCAAATGATTATGCTCATCCTTATCAAACCTATTGGACACAGCTAGAACAAAGGCATCCCACTTCATAGCAATGATAGAAGCACGACTAGACTGAAACCAAAGTGCAGCAGACCTACAAGTTCATGGTAGCTATCTTAACCCAGAGGTGATGATGGGTAGCATACACATCGAAGTAAGTTTCACACTGGGTCACCCACAACCGAGGATTTGAACCATCGAATTTGGGGAAACTAAATTGGGGAATAGCTGAAGCAGGGAATGGCTGACAAACATGATCACGAGATGCAGAACCATCCAAATTGAAAGGAGTTGGAGTCAATTGATGGAGATTCTTCGCACCTGTGACCGGAGGCGGATCTAGGGTGGCGTACACCATCCCATGTCCGACACTCCGGTGATGATCCTCTTGCTGGTGGCCACATGGCCCAGATGTCGCCCCACACGGGGTCGGTTCCAGATGGGCGGAACCCGGCATCAACACGTTCCCCGCCGTTGTGCGGTCTGGCGCGGGATGCTCGATGTGCGCCTCCTTCTCAGGAGAGGTATTTCCGGCGAAGAGAAGCTCGACGCGGTCGCCGAGGTCGTGAACGGCTTGCTCCAATCCGGCGACGCGATGGTCCACCGTTGGCCTCCACGCATCCAGATCGGCCTTCGCCACCTTCATCTCGCTCATGGACTCCTTCAGCTCCGCGATCCCCTTCTGGTTCGCGTTCAGCAAGGCCAGGATTTGCCCGTATTGCTCTTCGGGAGTCGCCATGGATTGGAATCGGGTGTGGTATTGGTGGTGGGTTTGGTGGTGAGCCAGTTTGATGGTTCTAATACCAGATGCCACTGGACTACTATACTACCTATATATCGAATTTGGTAACTGGTGGATACAAGGACTCGAGTCGCCGGCGATCGCCGCCGCCGCCGTCACCTGCAGGTGTGGTTCAGAGTAGTGTCCAAGTTCGAGTTCTCTCGTTCCTTGCCGTTACAAGGAGCCAGGAGGCTACCTCCGACATGGGCCACGCAGGGCCTGGGGTTTACTTGGCCCATTCCGGTCCAGAGATCTTCAGGTTCGGCTTCCTGGGCTGCGCTGCTCTCCCATGGGCCGCTTCCGCTTCATCTGATGTCGACGCCTTCTCCCGCGCAGCTTCTTTCTTCAATCTTCCTCCAACAGCTTCGGCTTCGTCAGTGTTGGCAGCAGCCGGAGTTGCAGCTGTGGTACCGGCGGCTTTAGAGGTGCCGGCGGTGACAAGCAGTTCTTCGCTTCTTGTATCTGTTTTTTTTTAACGAAACTTCTTGATCACAGAACAGAAGTTAGCGGATGCAGAATAGATTTCACGACCGAGTCCAACAACGAGCGCTTCGCTGCCTAACATCTTCTTCACATCGATTAAAAAATAACATCTTCACATCGTGTGCTTCAGCTATGCACCGTTCGCCATCATCAGTAATCGATGATTAGTGGTCTGCTGCTAATCGGTTAGCAGCTTAGTCGTTGTAGTATAGTGGTGAGTATTCCCGCCTGTCACGCGGGTGACCCGGGTTCGATCCCCGGCAACGGCGAATCTTTTTTTTGGCGCCTCTTTGTTTGGTATTTTACTTCAGCTTCTGTAGTAAACACACCAGCTTCAGCACAAATCACATATATATATGAGCTATCACACTCACCCTACCCTACCCTACTTTACTATTTACTATGCAGTGTCCATCTATATACATTTGCCAAAAACACGTTCTAGTCTCAGTTTCAGCTTGTTCCCACATCCGGGACCCAAACTTAGCCTTCACAAATAATGCCTTCTTCAACTGAAGATAAGGGCTGGTACTGATGAGCACTGATGAAGGATCATGTGGAAGTGGAAACATCACTCGACATCCTTGACTTCGGCCTCGACATCCACAATCGTTCCTGAAGGCGCCGCTTCTACATGCAGAAGCACAAAATGTGGTTACTGATGATTCGTTAGCCAGATGGGCTTGCAAAAAGTTCATTGACAGAGAATTTAGAAGAAACAAAACCCTTTGTTGGTCGGAATGACAAGTTCTCCACTGGAGGTAGTTTTTTTTCGAGAACGTGTCCGTTGGCACGTGTTTCATTAAGAGGGGGGCGACTGGAAGTAGTAGAAATAGTCCCTACAACTCTTTGAAACGATCTTCGACCAAGCCCTTCACTCATTAATTTGACTATGGTTTTTACAACACCTGGCCTTCAAGTTGGCGTTGACGTGGCCTTGGGGCTAAGGTGCTAAGCACACGAGCTCAGCTGCTCTCACCCCCGCTCCTCAATGGGTGAAGGAAGAGAGCCAAAACAAGTGCTGTTTTGATGGGAGGAGTCACTGGCATGCACGCTGTTCTACTTCCAGCTCTAGCTCTGATGGCCTGATCTATCCACTCCTGACTCAGGTAGGCGGTAGCCATGGAAGGTGAGGGGGCAAGGGGGATGTATTCCTGACAGTGATTCGCTCCATGCCTTCAGCCATGACCCGAGGGCCTCATCATGGCCGGCATATCTTGATGCTCAGCAAGATCTGTTACACCTAACGGTCATGTGAGGTAGGAGATGGCTCCAACTCAGTTCTTTCATACTCCATTGCACTCTCCATGACAAGTGGGACCCACTGCCAACACTACAGTTCGCTGCCAAGTCAGGCATTCAAAACCACCATCAAACTGGCATAGAAGTGCCTGAACCGTGACTTGTGGCTCTTGGTGGGTTTCAACTCTAGCCTATCCCCAACTTGCTTGGGACTGAAAGGCTATGTTGTTGTTGTTGTTCGAGAGATGAGGGATCAATGTATTCCAGTATTGAAGTTGATGGAAGTTTTTAAACTATGAGAAGAGTTTGGGGTCAAGATGGATGGGTGGGTGAGGGGCGGGGCTAAAAGTTCACTTGAGATGGCTCAAATGCAAGCATAGAAAAATAAAGATTGAACAGAATTATTTGGTACCTCTCATGTTGCGGTTGAAGAACTCATTGAACACTTGCCCGTTTGTAGTAGTAGCACCCCTCCCAGATGAAAATCTAGCAGATTCTCTAACAAATTTGTTGCCCTGAACTGCAGCATGTACAAATATATCTTAGCTCCAAAATAAAGGGTTCCACACAGACAAGCATAACAAAGATGTTAAACAATGGAACGATAAGTTTCTCCAATGGAAACATTCAAGACTTCAAGGTGATTCCACATATCTCCATTCTTAGTTGGCAGATGATTGAATAAATTAGTAGAGAAGAGATTTTCATTGCAAACTGATACATAAGCAATGGTTACAAAAGGTTTCAACCATAGGTTCAACATAACTCTGTTGCTGTATCAGATCTACAGTACATTAACAGTTGTACAACCATAGATTCAGTGAAATTTTGTGTTCAGCATTGCTAACGTTATTATACCAAAACACAGAGAAAGAGGATGAATGGGTGGGTGTGGGTGGTGATGGCGGTTGGAGGTAGCTGTTGATAACACAATTAAATTGCTTACCAGAGAAAGGTTGACTGCAATAAGGGCATAGCTGTGGGCCATCCTTCAAAGCTGACCTATAAGACAATCAAGCTAATCAGAGTTCGGTTTAAGAACAAATCTGTGATAGAAGTTTTACATGGTGCTGTTTATGCTCACTTCAGGATCTGGAAGCTTTTTCCACAGTTCGGACACTGCCAACAAAGGAAAGAGCATGAGTATGGGAACATTAACAGAACTGTGCACAGAGACAACAAAGTTTCTTCTTCCAGTTTTGGGTGTGAATGATATAACCATAGTGCTGCTAATAGGTGTAACCTAAGTAACTTTAAGAAGCAATGTTTTATAAGTGGGGAGGATTATGCAGAAATATTTCTCACAAGTAGATAAACTCAACCATATGAAAGAAGCAATAGCTGAATGCCAAATTAATGGGGAGACTTACATCGCCCTGCAGTATATCTTGTCCTGCAAAGAAGAAAAATGCACCCAGAGCCAGAACAGGCAGCAGTATTGTAAGGAGCTGTTTTCAGAAGACATGTAAAAATCCAAATTAATGACAGTTTAATAAACTAAAATCATATATGAATGAATAAACACGAAGATTGTATGACATTTTGTGGTATGTACAGACCCAATTTCAGTGTCAAGATTCTGTGGAATCTAATGCTCAAGTTTTCCATGAGTCTATGACGCAATGGCAGCGCACAATTAAATACTAGCAAGTCAATAGTAGTACATGATCGCCAAGCTAAACAACATTACTTGGTGAAACTGTAAATTGACTGGAAATCTGAGGTCACTGAGAATCTACTCCAACATGGACAGCAAAATCGTACTGTTAAAAAGCACTGCGTTCTTGGTGGAGCAATTCTAGGTATCAACCTAAGCTGTCTGGTTTTCCACAAGGGATGGCATTTTTCAGCTGAGCTAACATTTATTTCCTACAGTCAGGCATCGAATTAACAAAATAAACAAGCTAGTGCCAATCCCAAATATTCTCATCGAAGAAACAAATCAAACAACCTAGCGCTCCGCTACTAATCCCAAATGTTCTCATAGAAGACGCAAATTGTAAATAATTCATTTTAGCAGTAAGAATTCTCGTACCCAGAGCGAGACGATGGCGTCAATAACCCACCGGAGCTGGCCGGTGACGGCGAGGTACGTCACGACGGCGGCGAAGGCGAGGTTCCCCACGACCCGGGTGGTGCCCTTGTCCATACGCCTCCAGCCGCCGCCAAAGAAGGGGCCTCTCCCAGCTCCGGTGACGCCAAGGCCAAGCCGCCGCCGCTGTCTCCCCGCCGCTCTCCAAGCCAAGGCCCCGCTTTTATCCACTAACAACTCGCTCCGGTCCGACGGCCTCGCCGTGGAACGGGAACAGGCCCCATTTGAGAATTTTGGAGGCGGTTTCAAGAACCTCGGGTAGAGGCAGGCATGCGAGCAGCAGCAGAGCGGGGGAGGAGTGAGAAGAGGAGGCTGGAGCAAGGAGGCCATGGACGCGAGGGAGCGAGCGCGTGGGGAAGATTATTCTTGAGAAAGTATATCCCGCAAATGTTCTTGTAAAACCGATATTTTTTTCGCGCTTTTTTTTCCACTGGGGTGGGATGTTTTGACATTTTTGTGGTGAAAACGCAGCAGGGGTTTGTTTGCAGCGGCAGACATGGCGTTGGATGTTGGAACGCTGGAACTGGAAGCAACCGGACCGGGAAGAGAAGTCTGGGCAGTGGACAGCAATGTTTCAGATACGCCGTTCAACCGGATACACAGTTCGGGAATGCAGCTTGTCAGCTCCGTATTTTAGATGACCTTTTAAAAAAAGATTTTTTTTATTTATTGCTTCTCTAGAAATGATCCTGTATTTAAAAAAACAGAAATAAATATGTGTCATGCCACCACACCACAAAAAAATAAAAACGCACTACCATAGCACGACAATAACCTGTCACTTATCCATTGCCACGGTCCCAGCCAACACCAAACTTTATCCTCGAAATGTTGCTAATTTATTTTTGCAATATAATTTCTCCGCATGCAAAAAAATATCCCTTTCCACCAGATTGTCAGCGCAGGATGTGTTTTCTGATTTCTGGCACGTCATCAATCGACGGGATGTTCAATCCATTCAGCAAGTATCATTACATTACAAGAAACATCTTTCTGGTATTACAGAATCTTGGTGTCTCGATTATGACTGGAACACTCATACTGACTCTAACATAGTACACCAGGGGCAAATCCCCAAAGACACCTATCTGCGATGCCGGCCGCCTCTGCCACCTCTTCCAGAGGAATGCCTGCCGCCGCGCTGCTGCGTCCTTCCCCGGCCAAAGGACGAGCTCCCTTGATGAAACTGCCTAGAACTGAACTGCGGAGGCGAATCTTGTTCCCCATCTCCACGGGGTGGCGCCAGGTTCGTAAATCCTTGTGAATTTGGAGGCTGGCCAAAGTTGCCTTGCCCCATAGGCACTTGAGGCGCGGGGCCAAATGGAGAGTTCACTGGTGGTCTGCCACCGAATGGCATTGGATTTGCAGGCATTCCAGTTTGGTGCATGAACTGAGGAAAGGGCATCGGCATTTGGTTTGGGAAGCCACCGAAATTCTGGTTCTGAAACTGCTGCTGGAATTGGTTGGCTCCTGGGCCACTGAAGTTCTGGTTCTGAAACTGCTGCGGGAATTGGTTGGCTCCTGCGCCACTGAAGTTCTGGTTCTGGAACTGCTGCTGGAATTGGTTGGCTCCTGCAAGGAGGCTCTGTATGATGTTGGCAGCGAGTGCGGCTCCATCTACCCCCATGTTCGGATGAGGCGGCTGTGGAAATCCACCAGGCCAAACCATATTGGGCTGCTGCGGTAAGAACAGCTGCTGTGCCGGATTCATGAAGCAGCCACCCATCTGATTTGCAAGAGGAACAGGTGATGGCACAGCAGGGTTCATTGGGCCAGGAGGCAGCATGGTTGGAGCAATCATAGGTGCATTTGGAGGACCCAATGAACGTGCTGTATTTTCAGCACCTGCAGGAGCCATATCTGAGCGGTGAAAATGAGGCCGTGGCTGGTGACCTGTTGTTGATGTATCCAGGTTCCTTGGCGGCATGGGCTTCCGGATTCCACTACCTCTAGACTGTGATCTCTTCCTATCACGAGAAGTCTTCATAGGCTCACGCTGTCTATCAGTCTGCCTTTTTGCTTGACGTAATGACCGTTTGTACTCAGCCTCCTTTTCATCATCAGAGAAATCAAGTAAATCTTCTTCTTCATCATTGTCTACAGGATCAGATTCATCATAGCCTTTTGCATAGAGCTCCTTCATATTCAGGATGTGATCTGCAAACTCCGCTACAAAAGAGACATTGGTTCCTGCACTGATCCCAGCAGGTACCTCTTCCTCAGAGTTGTACCGCACAAGGTAGTATGGGTTCTTAACAGGTCCAAATAATTCATCAACTATACCAAGCGGCGTCCTACTTTCTGTTATCCAGAGAATTGAACCCTCATTCAGGGGGTTGTGCTGGACTGAACCTTCAACTATTACTCTCTCACCCATTATCTGGAAAGATAGCAGACAGGCAAACAGTCAGGATATGAACTAGATCAACCACTATATGACAACAATCCAAAACACCACAGTTGTTTAGTATTTTACCAAAAAAAATGCTAACAACTGCAAACCAAGTAAAAACAACTACCACACTTCAGGTGCCTTTAAGTTTCAGATAGCACTAAATATATTGCACATACAGTCCTCCTTATAAAAGGGGAAAAATACAATGAGGTAGATTCCATCTGAGTCTATGGGCTGTCAGGAAACTGGAGGGTTTCAGTGTATTTCTATATCAGTTTCAGCCTTTCTGCGGCACACCCCAGGGATACGAAACGGGTCTGGTTATCAACCAATTCAAGCAGCTAAATTTCAGTGTTTTTAAGCAATAACAATTTCCCAGGAAGGTCTGAAATGCTACAAAAGATTCAACACATTACCTTCCCCAAATAAGTCCCTATTGCTTTTAGCAACTATATGGGGGTGTTTGGTTTGAGGAACACCTCCATCATCATCTCAATTATTTCTTTGATTTCTGGAAATCCATCACCACTCATCCCTCAAAAGCTAATAATTAGTATAGACATGAAGAATGGGTTGGGATGAACTCATGATGCACCACTTCATCTATGAATAAGCAGACAAAATTGTGGTTCCTCAAACCAAACATCCCTTATATGTATGAACTATGAAGTGAACCAGTTTTATCTTCAAACGATGACACCATGAGACAAAATAAGCAGATGGTCTAAATGCAATCAAATAAAAGGATAACACCAACTTTTCTTGCATGGCATATGAAAAACAAACATTAGAGTATAACTCCACGGATAAATATAATATAAACACAAAAGGACCAGCGCAGGAAATATAAGACTTACAGCTGAAATAGTCCCTACTGGAAGAGTCTGATGATGTGGTTCCAACTGGATTTCAATTTTTGGGACTGGTGGAAGGACCTGCGATGTATATCCACATTAGAAGATGCAGACAAATACAAATGTAAACAAAAAAATTTAGGAATGTTGAAAACAACAGCTTATGTCATTTTGTAGATCCTGGTAGCAACTGAATGTAAGACTTCAGTATTGCAATTGCATAGCAACACAGAGCTATGTTGACAAGCTTCTAGCATTCTCTGTGACAAAAGGGTACCACAAAAGCTAAAAGGCAAGTTTTATAGAATGGCGATTAGACCGGTTATGTTGTATGGAGCAGAATGTTGGCCTACAAAGATTCGACATGTTCAACAACTGAGTGTTGCAGAAATGCGTATGTTGCGATGGATTTGTGGTCACACAAGAATGGACCGAGTTTGGAACGATGATATACGTGATCGCCTAGGGGTAGCACCAATTGAAGAAAAGCTTGTCCAACATCGGTTGAGGTGGTTTGGCCATATCCAAAGAAGACCTCCAGAGGCACCAGTGCATTGTGGAGTCCTAAGCCAAGCTAATAATATGAGAAGAGGTAGAGGAAGACCGAAATTGACATGGGGGAGGCAATAAAAAGATATTTGAAAGCTTGGGATATACCTAGAGATCTATGTTTGAATAGGAGTGCTTGGAAAGCAGCTAGCAGCTACTGAAGTGCCTGAACCGTGACTTGGGGCTCTTGGTGGGTTTCAACTCTAGTCTACCCCAACTTACTTGGGACTGAAAGGCTATGTTGTTGTTATTGTTGTTGAGTAGGCTACTCTTGAAAGTTAACTACATAATAAAAATTGTGTCAAGGTAATTGCACTAACTAGAAACATAGTCGCAATCCATTCACAAATGACTAACACAGCATCACAGCAAGCAAATCGCACCTAATAAGTATCAAAAGAATACGCATATCACAGGATGCTGTAACTCAAATACCTCTGTTTCATATTTGGACTTGATGCCTCCCTTTTGTTCCGCATCCTCCTCATCGCTCCCGATCAACAACTCACCTTCCTCAAGGAGACTCTCTAGGTTATTGGACTTACCACCATGCCTCTTAACTCCCAGCTCTTCCTCTTCGCTGCTTGAGGCTTCACTCGATTCCTCGTCCTTCTTGACCCTCTGCTCTTTCTCCTCTTCACTGCTCGAGGAAGCCTCACTCGATGAGCTGTCATCGTCATCCTCACTGCTCTCTGACTCCGACTCTTCATCGATGCTCTCCTGCCCTTCCTTGCCACCTTCCGCTTCCACTTCCACGGACACCGTGGTATTCATCATCTCAGCATCAGCAGGTGCAGGCGGTGCCTCCTGCCCTTCCTTGTCACCTTCCGATTCCACATCCACGGACACCGTGGTATTCATCTCAGCATCAGCAGGTGCTTCCACGGATACCAAAGTATTCATCTCAGCATCAGCAGGTGCGGGCGGTGCGGCATTCATCTCAGCATCAGCCGGTGCGGCAGCCATCTCCATAACAACCGCTCCCTCTGGAATATCCTCTCTCACAGCCAAATCGCCAATCCCAGACACCAGAAGCTGATCCGGGGCAAGCAGCTCGTCCAATCCGCTGCTGCCCACCACCTCGACCTTCTCGTCCTTCACACCAAACTCGAGCTCGGAGTTCTTTTGCGCCGCCGCTTGCTCAGCGGAGCCGAGACCCTTGACCGCTAGCTCGCTCGACATGGCCGGGTCGAAGTCCACGAGCCACTCCTCGATGGGGTCGAAGCCGATGCCGGGGTCCGAGTCCGAGGGCGGGCACGGCGGCGGGGACGGGGACGGGGACTGGGATGCGGGCGGCTTAGGATGTCGCACCATAGGTGAGGGAGGCGAGGCTGGGGTTCTGCGGATGGAGAGGGAGGTGGTGCCGCGGCGGCGTCATGGGTTTAGGGCTTTAGATTAGTGGCGGCGCGATTTTGGAGGGACATAGGAGTAGGCGTGGATATGGAGCCAGCTCGGTTCGGTCCAGCTCTGGCTGTTTAGCTCGCAAGCTACCACAGCGTCCGGCGGCTGTGGTGGACGACTGGATGGGGGCGCCAAGCCCCGGCCGGTGGGCGGCGACTGGGCGAGCGGAGGAGTGGCGGGCTGGCGGCACTAGCACCTAGCGGGCAGACCGACGGGACGGACGGAGCCACGGAGGAGTGGTGGAGGGGGCGGACACGGGCACTAGGGTTGGTTTTGTGGTGGGCTTGCTGGGCCTCCCTCGTGGCCGTGGGCTGGCAAGACTCGCTGATAGGCCGGTTTAGATTGGGTTTATTCGAAACCTGTTATGCTGCTGGCCTCTCGTATCAGCAGCTTTTGAGCGTGGGCTGGCTCGTTAAAACAACGAAACTTTCAGTTTAATTTAGCTTTTGAAACGTTAATGGAAATGACCTGGGATGTCGTCTAGAGAGGAGTGAATAGATGTTTCTAAAAATTAATACCTTTAAATACGGAAGCGATTAGTAATGAGAGTTTCCAAAATGAAAACTCCAAATAACAGTAATATCACCCATCACAAGTTAGCCACAAAATATGTAAAAGATACTAAATAAATCTAGAGAGCTAGACACCTACAACCAAAGAGTTAAATCAAAATACAATTAAGTTTTGCACAGGCACCAATACCGGACACGTCCGGTAGCATGTCCGGTATACACGTGTTCAGTGGTAATGGCTCCAAGGCCCTATTCGCTTCTCTTATAATCCGTACTTTTCATCTTGTTTTTCAGTTGGAACAGTGTTTTTCTCTCACAACAAATCAGCCGGAATAGTGTTTCGACTTGTTTTTTCAGCGAAGCGAACGAGGCCCAAACTTGCTCCTTTCGATTTCAATCTTCAATCCAAGCTGCAGGTACCTACTAGAAATGATATGATATACAGAGAACCCACAGAAGAGCTAGAACAACACAAATATCAAAAGAAATACAAATTGAGACACGATATTTGTTTTACCAAAGTTCGGACTCGGTTGAGTTCTACTTTCCGTTGAGGGGGCTACAGGCGACCCAGCGAAGGTCAGCCCTAGAGGGTACCACGAAGGTCACTCTAACCGGAGTCTTTTCTAACTCCTTTTTCTCCTTCCACTAGTTGATTTCTTCCCTTGCGGCGGCGGAATCGATCGTTACAAACTTTTCGAGGCACACCATAATCTCTTGGGTGCTCTTCGACGAGCCTAGCCGTTTAGGACCGAAAAGTCCAAGAATAACAAATGCAAATTACGAGATTGACAATATGTACAAGTGCTCAAGTGGTGTCTTGCTCTCTTTTTTGAATTCTCTCTCAACCCACAAAAGGATTTGGTAATTTGGATGAATTATTCAATAAGAGAGGGTTGGAGAGTGTTTGCAAGGCTAAAAAACGTGCTAGAGGATCAGCAGAATCAGCAGCCTCCAAAGGTGGAGGCTTGGGGGTATTTATAGCCTCCTTGAAAAAACTAGCCATTTTCTAGCAGTTGCCATATCGGACAACACTGCGCCAACGGTCACTGAGTTAAAGTATGAAAGGTGTGAAACTTTGGTTAATTTGAGACCCGACTGCTAACTCCCGACCAACTCAAGATGAATTATGACCCTCACTCATTTGAAAACTAGAAGCAATGGCTTTGTTCATGACAATGGAGACGTCATGGTGATGAATATCTTGAACTTGAAAAGAAGATGAGAAAGACAATGAACTCTCAAGTTAATAAAGTGTAGGAGCCCGGACGCTTTTAGTGATCAAGAACACTAGTGAGTGTGATCACATGTAGACTTCCAACACACAACTCTTCCAAAACTAGAGAGTGTAAAAGTATAAACCCTAAATCAAACGGACACGTAGATGCTCTAACTCATGTAGAGAGTTAGAATGTCTTGTCTCACTCACTCAAACCTCACATAGATTGGCTTGAGCACTTATGAATAATCATCTATCAACATGATGCATCTCTCTTAATAGTATGGTGTTCCTATAAACTCAAGATTTAAAAGGAAAAACGAGATTATACCGCTTGAGTTGATTTCTTTCAAATTGATGTCGTCTCTTTCAATCTTCATCAAGTGAGGGTGCCAACATGTCAATATTGATCTTTTCATTTGAGTATAGCCATCTTGAGCACTTGACTTGATTCCATTCATCAAATATGAATAACTCCAAATACATCAAGTCACTTCCATCAACTTGTCTAATATAGATTGGATCCTCCACATCAATATGACCTCCATAGCTTGATTAGTACCTCAACTAAATGTAAGTACTTCCTTCTTCACCCTAGCTAGGTTCTTCGACCGCCGAGCCGTCGCTTGCCCTTCACCATTGCTTAGTACCTCAAAGTCTTTTCCTGCTATCTTCATCATCTCAAGCCATCAAGTCACACCTTGTGTTGAATCATGCAATGAATTCCATATAACACCATCAATCATTAATATCCCACCATAATTAAGCCTTTGCATGAATTACATTTGTATTGTTGTATTGTGCTTGAGCTAGATTGCTTATACAACAACACATCATTTTGGCTTCATTAAACATCTGTGAGATAACCAATTTCTGTTTCACACTTATAGAAAATGTTACATCTTTAATCGTGTTGTCATTCAATCATCCAAAATCCACTAAAAGGCTAGATGCACTTTCACTAATGCTCTGACAAGGGCATCCATCTAGGCGAGCTCCATGTGCTACCGCCGACCTCAGTGCCAGCGTCGAGCTCCACAACGACGAGCTCCATTCGTGTAAGCAGCAAGGTGACATATTGCGCTGAAAACGCATGTTGCAAGCATTTGGTATGGATATTGCAAAAGTAGATAAGGATGTTGCATTGTCGCAATGGTTATAGACGTATGTTGCAAACCTCTGTTTCTAATGTTTCATCTATTTTTCAGACATGTTGCAAGTGTGTTTGCCTAGATGTTGTTATGCTTCACACATATGTTGCAAGTGTTTTATCTGGATATTGCTATGTGTTGCAATATTTTTTAAGTGTTTCATGTGTTTTCTGCAAGTGTTTTAGACGCATGTTTCAAGTGTTTTATATATATGTTGCAAGTCTTGTTTTAGGATATTTCAAAAGTAGATCGGGTATTGCATCTCCCTCCTTGCTTTCTGTTGCCTCGTCTTGGTGTCTTCTCCTCTCCTGCGCTTTGCATCCTTCTTAGAATGCAGAGGGGGGGAGCGGGGCAGTGGAGGGGCACCAGCGGGATGTTGGCGCCACCAAGTCACGTCTACGTAGGGACGTAGTGTGTTGGCCCCTTTAGTGAACCTACACGTGAAAATTGAGATGGTCTCAGTTCTATTGGTCATTCCGCGCCAACCCAACCTATATATTCATCTTGTGATTGGTTCATCCCCTGGCGCCGGGATAATCACTCGGCACCATTGCCTCCCATGCAAACTAGTTGATACAAGTATGTTTTAGTGTAGAGCAAATTAGAGAGTGGTGCACTTGCCTTGTGGGTGCATAAACTTGTGATATAGGTGGTGTATATATGGTGAAATTTTAGAAAAAACCATTGTTTTCACAAATTTTGGGTGGTGCATTAAGTATTCATTGCAACTAGAATTGTTGGGAGAGAGGCTTGCAACTTTAACCTAGAGCAAGTTTTTATTTCCTTTTTGTTCATTCTTATAGAAAAATCCATAGCCTTGTGAATTTGTAGATTGACGGACTAGGGGGTGAATAGTCTTTTCTAAAATTAATAGGACCTTTCAAGATATAAATGCGTAATTAAAACAATTGGTCTAGCCAAGACTACACCCTCTATATATGCTCACTAGCACCTTGCAAAGATACTAATTATGCAACTAAATGAATTTGGGCTTTAGCTAGAGCTCTCCTAAATAATTCTAGGAGCAAGGTCACACAAACCTATACCACTAGTACTTTAAGCAACAAGGACTCCTACACATGCTAGTAAGCAAAAAGCACAAAGCCAACTAAGCTTACTAGCAAAGCTCAATACACAAGGCAACCAATGCCTAATTAGAGAGCGCAAATACTTAGCTACACAAACTAAGCAATGTGACTAACAAGGTTACTAAAACCAAATTAGCCACGTAATGGGAGAGTACTACTTCTATGCTACATTAAGTAAGAAGGTAATTAGCTAGCTACACAAAGCTATCTAATTACAAGAGCACTTATGAATATATATATATAAGTAATTGCAAGCTTGTGTAATGGGGATGCAAACCAACGGGAAGAAAAAGGTTGACACGATGATTTTTTCTCCCGAGGTTCACGTGTTTACCAACATAGTCCCGTTCTGTCAATATTCATCTTGGTGGTTCGGGTGCTAATTAGCATCACCCGCTAATCTTTTCGTTTGAGTATAGCCATCTTGAGCCCTTGAGTGAGGGTAGCTCAATAACACGAATTACTAAAGTACATCAAGCGACTTCCATCAACAAGTACCCCTCACAAGCACTTCTCCGAGCGCCAATACAAGCTTCTTCCATAGCTTGATTAGAGACCACCACTAAATGTCTAGGAGGTGGCAACCTCCAAGAGTAACAAGTTCCCACCGGTTGCAACACGACCACCTAGTGCCACTCGATGCAACCTCACGATGCAATCGCACTAGAATCTTTTCACTCACACAATCGAATGATCACTATCAAGTATATGTGTGATGGAGGGCTCAAAGCACTCACAAGCATGGACACATAAGTCCTTGAGGTGCTCACCATAATTAAGCCATGGCATGAATTACATTTATATTATAGCCCCTTGGGCTAAACTAGATTGTTACCCTTCAACGGGCATCGGTTTGGCTTCATTAAACATCGGTCGTGTTAACCGGACGCCGGACCTCGGCGTCACTTATAGAAAATGTTACACGTGTAATCGTGTTCCAACAATCACTTGACTTGACTAAAGGGCTAGATAACTTTCAATCGATGCGGACGATAAGGGCATCCATCTCGGCGAGCTCCAGAAGATACCGACCTCGACCGGACGTGTCCGGTCACATTTGATCGGACGCGGCCGGCGTCCGGTCACACTCCAGCTTTACGTCATCGTGTCGTACCGACGTGGTGACATATTGCGTTGCGTCCGGTGCATGAATCAGAGCGTCCGTCGGTATTGACCGACGCCAAACATCTTCAGACTAAGGTTCTCACTTCTAACTTCATCCTTGCTCCAATGTGCTAACCACAAGAACTTGTATCCGGCACAATAGAAAATAGGCATTCTATTTTTCCGAAAGCGTTGCAAGTACCCATAAGTCTAGATGGGAGGGAGAGGGACCCAAACCCATCTCACCCAAGCAAACACCACCTCCTTTGTAAATGTGCCAACAATACCAAGTGTACACCACCATGTGTGTGTGTTAGCATTTTCATAATTATTTCCCAAAGGATGTTTTATATCAACTTGCACGCCACTGATCCTAGCGACAATGCAAAGTTAGATCACGAGTGGCACTAGATGACCGATATGCAAACAAGTTTGCCTCATCTTAATAGTACGGCCATCTATCCTAAACCCGGTCATAAACTTCTCTAGAACCTATGAGGGGTGAAATGAAATGCCCTAGGTTATACCTTTGCCTTTGGCGATTTCATTCCATCTCCTTCAATGTCGATGCAACACATGCACCAACACGATCAACAATGATATGATCCACTTCATATCATCACATGATCATATTGGTTCATCAATCTTGACTCTACTTGCTCTTCTTCGTTGCTGCTATCGTCCATTAGGTGCCAAGTCTTGCTCAAGCTTCACCGCCACGGTCCATCACTCCAAAGCCTTTGACTTGCCTCTTCATGAAACCGGTCCATCAAGCCAAGTCTTGTCTTGATCTTCTCCACCTTGATCACATGACTCAATGTCATGTCTCATGGGTGCATAAACTTGTGATATAGGTCATCATCACATGTGTGAGCTTTGCAACATTTCCAAGCCATTTTCACCTCCATGGCATATGTTGCTCATACACATGTACATGTGGACTAATCACCTGTGTATCTCACATAAACACAATTAGTCCACCTAGGTTGTCACTCAATTAACAAAACCAACAAGGACCTTTCACCTTGTTGCAAAAGGTCCAATAGAAAAAGTGGGAATTCCAAGACCAGAGCCTTCTTGTAAAAGCTCCAACACTAGGGATGGCAATGACCCTGTTCGCTTGTCTTATGAGTCGTACTATTTTAGCGAATGAACAGTGTTTTTCTCTCACAATAAATCAACGAACATTATTTTTAGACATGGCTTTTCACCAAAGCGAACAGGGCCAATACTACCAACAGGCAGATGCGATACGGGCATAGGTTTAAAATTTCACCAGTGAATGAGTATACAATTCTCTGTTTTTTTTGTATAGGTATTCGTTTCGCCCGTTGGTGAATAAAACATAAAAGGATTTCATCTACTCCAGTGACCCGTTGGTGATTGATTAGAATTTCATCTATTCTAGCAACAATCTTACTCTGTGTGTGTGTGGATATCCTCAGATATCATACCCGACGGTTCTCTCTCGCCTAAAATAAATGATGTTTTTGACTTCCAGACATCTCATTTGACTATTCATCTTATTTAAATTTTTTTATAAATATTATTATGAGTTATTTTATCATTAGAGATACTTTAATAATAATTTATTTATTTTATAATTTGCATAAAAAATTTTGAATAAAACCAATGGTCAAACAAGATGTCTAAAAGTAAAAACATCACTTATTTTGAGACGGAGAGGAGTAGATACCAAGTGCAAAATGTTAGCCACGGGTACAGGTGCTGGCAGGTTAGTGTCATAACAAGTGGATTGCCTTGGCCAAAAACACAGCAAAGCTGCATTCTTACCACATACCACAAGAAATAAACCACCAAGCTATTACGCTCACATGCAAACGTATGATGAAGATACATTATATTCACTACTAGAAAAAAAAAAACTTCACCGTTTTCCCTATCAACCACATCTAAACCATGTCAATAAATGAAACAACACCCTTGCGCATCCATATGAGGATTGTTTATATTTTACAGAAGAGCAAAAAGATGATCAGCTGTACGCTTTCAGAGATCCAAATCCACGTGGCTCATTTGGCACATCTCATTTCCTTCTATCCATCAACTGGCTGTGATCAGACCGCCCTATGTTCATCAGAAGGCTGAACTTAGAGCACTACGTGCTGCCTCACGTTTCATCTCTGCAGCTTTTCCACTTCCACGGAAATACATGTATACTTGCTTCAAGTTGAGAGAGAATTTAATGATCAGGTGTGAAGAACATAAAAAAATTACTAAATGAAAGAATAATGTACAAGAAGATCCCTGGGCTGTAGTATGATGAAGGATTCAATGAACAAAGAATAGATTCAACCAACCTGAATGACACCGATGCTCAGAAGTGATTCAAGGCAGAACAAGCCGAATCCAACAAAGTAAAATATCTGTCAAACATAAAAAAACAAGGTAAATTACTTAGGAACTAAATAAGCTATGCCAATCAATATGGCTATTGGATGCAGTGACGATTTGGTAAAGAGTGCAGTTTTAGAAATTAAAGAAGCCAGAAAGGCAATTGAGTGTCTGTAAGAGTCTGAGGACATGATACAAGATATCTGCAACGAAAATGTAGTTAACTCTCTGCCATGGTGAATGTTACATAAACATATATTTCCTTGGTAAGTAAATCCTATGCCCATGATTCATGAAACAGAGTAAAGCAAAGCCATATAGGTAAAGTGAGCCATGACAATAAACTTAACAACTCAAAACTGACATAGACTTACCCCCACAATAGCATTATTGCCTATGACATCAATTGCAGGTAAAATCCCACTGTTAAAACAGCAAAGAAATAGTTAGCACTTGGATGCATAAAAAACAAAGAGCATGCTTTAGTTGAAAATGTCCAAATGATTTTGATTACATAAACCCTCAAAGCCAGTGTTTGTCACGATAAGGTTAGACAACAACATTACGTGTTGGGCTTCTTATCAGTTATAACACCTGTGGAGCAGGACTCCTCGGTAAAGTTATGACACATGATTGGCAGAAAAATATAGCTATCTCAACTTTAGCAAGCACTACATGATTTAAAGTTTTATTCGTAGTTCTAGGACCACAAAGTGTGTATGTTGCTCATGCTCAAGATTTGGGGTAAATATTGTATATCCACAATGATTCCTTGTGGAGATTATTATTGGCTACAATTCAGGACAAGCACCGAGTGGGTAAATATACTGATTCTTAAGTGAAATAGCAATTACTTTTTATGGAATAAGATTGTATGGAAACACAAATTATGACTAGGGACATATATGGCTCCTCACAGCTACCCTTCAAAGAGAACTCACAAAGAGTTATTAGTTATTGCATCTCAACTCTCAAATAAAGTTCAGTAAACTACAATACTTACGCCAAAGATTTTCCTTTGAAAGGGAATGGAGGAGCCACAGCTGCCCACACACAGAAGATTATATGAATCTGGAAATGGGCAAAGATTGGCAGTGAGGCATGCAGTAACTTTATGAATACAATGCTAAGACATGACGTGTGAAACCTTTAGTTTATTTTACTCGACATATTACCATGTAAAATAGAAAAAACCACCCAAACTTCAAAGCGCTCTCAGTTCTGAAGCAGAAATTCAAACAAAACAAGATATATGATTATAAGGAACATTGAAATGGTGAAAAAATTGTATTGTATTAAGGGATGGATGCATATAGACAACCTCATTGCATTATAAAGAGGTCGATACCATAACACATAAGCCCCGGGCGCACCAGATATGAAGTAGATAATGGCAAGCAGCCAGATCATAACACCTTTTGAAGTAGATAGGTCATATTAGTTTGAACATGAAGTGTCACTAAGATAGCATGTGCTGATGGAAGAAGATAAATAAGATGACAATATGGCACACTTTAGTTGTACCTTCCCCTTTAATCCATGCTGTTGTAGTTGCTATGATATTCCAAAAGAGACACACTACCAATCCTGCATGAGGAACAAGCATCGGGTAAGAGAACCTCAGTTGAGAAATGCTATGCCAAATGAACGTACCAGCCACTATCTATCAGAATTATTTTCTGCGAAATGCATAAGTCCACGGAACAAATGAACATAATAAATCCTTTATGCAACAAGCAAGAAAGTGAAAGTGTATTGCCATCCACTCCCTACTAGTAGTAACACTATTAATGCATAATATAAAAAAAGATCAATACATTATACTTAAGTCAGAGAGATAGAGAGAGAGAGACAGGACACTAGTACAGTAGTACTAATCAACACATTTTGGACACTTAAAGCTTACCCAAGAATGACGAGAATGCAAGGTACTGCATCCTTTGTAGATGGATAGGTATTTCATTGGAAATGTCGTGGTGGATGAGGGGAAAAAAGGGAGGCCAATTTTTCTCTTCTATCACAATGCCAGCTGAAAAATAAAAGATGATAAAGGTTAGTGGAAAAACTGAAAATATATAGCAACCCAATTCTCTATGAAAAGAAATAGCAAATTTTCTTTTAAAAAATGGAAGACATACATCATGATATCTGAAAACATCATCTAGTAGAAGTAATCTTCTCAGCAAATAGCATCAATAACTGAGCATAGAAATAAAACTGAATGTGTAACCCGTGTTGGGTGACAGGATTGCTTTCTCAGTACATTTCCTCAATAAACCCATTGCCTTTACCAATATCTTTCTTATGAGTTCAGTTTTTTATTAAATGTACAAAAATGAAATAAACAGCTACTTAAAAGAATGAACAGAGATGAAATGTACCTCGGGATGCCGCCTCTTCCTTCCTTTTCAATTCCTACACCAATAAGGACGAATAAAATGGAATCATATCAACATTTTAGATAAAGAATTGTGCACAAAGTAAATAAACGGATGGAACATGGATTCAAAGTTTCAAACACATGAGAAGCAGCAAAAACAACATTTCCTTCATTGACTCAAAATGCTCCAATATCTTAGAAAAAGCATCAAAATATCCAATAAAACGATCAGCAGACAATACATATAAAGCAACATGGCTCTCTCAATGCAATTGTATGCAGAAGGAATGATTTTTTTAATCAATATAAGTAATATGCGAAGCAACATAAGCCTCTGAGATGAAATATTTGAGTACTAGGAATGCTTTGGCAACGTATTAAGTACGAGAGACAAATTGCACATCGTAGAGTAGTTTGTGAAACATGAACTTGTATTTGTCAGAACTGCCATAACTGGCAAAGGAGCAGAAAGAATGAAAGCTCTGCAATGATAAGGCAGCATACCCGTTCTCTTTTGTTTAGCTCAGCCTCCATAGCCTGGAGTTCTTTCTCCTTTTTCTTTAGATCCTAAATATCAACATCAACAGATGTAAGATATAGGGAGCCATCCACATATAGACAAATCAGATAAATAATCAAAACCAACTTGGCAAGTTGGCATACCTACAGTACAACGAATGACATACATGAGCTAACTCATCGTAAAGGTGCATGTACCCAGTTGGAAGGAAGCTCGGTTAACTCTTTCTTTTTTTACTCAATGGGAAAAGAGTTCTCAGAACTGTAATTTGGTTCATTTGTGCAGTGATCCAGATAGAAAGAGATTACAAGTACCTTTGACGAGTCGAGAGGAATGTCCACATTGTAGAAATCAGCCGGTTCATGTGATAGAGGTGACAGACGAGAATTGGTGGCAGGTGGAACACTTCCTCCCTGCAAGATAGGGAATATTTGGGAGATAAGCAGTCACGCACAAAATAGAGACTCAACTAGGTGATATTATTTTATATTTTCTACCAACTGCAACTAGACATCTGCACAAAATAGAGCAACCAATACATAATACCATAATAAAAAGAAAAGCATGTGAAATAAACCAACTTAAACAAAGACACAAACCGATTAAATTCAGGCGGGCTGAAGACTTACTGCATGACTATACTTGTAAGTTTGACAGTTTGCGTTGTGTTAACCAACTATCAGTAAACATGCATGATCAAAACCTAGCAAGCCATATAAGGTGGCACCGGATCGGGGAAAGTTGGGAGAAAAAGGCCACCGCGTCGCATTACCAAGCTAAGGGATCCCCCAAACTAATGACACTGAATCCAAGCCCCAACAACTAAGCCAGCTCAATGCAGAACCGCGCATCTCACGTCCAACCTAGTTCCTGACATGGGCACGCACAGATCTAGAGTTAAGCAGCCCCTCCCACGAGTGTTCTAACAAAACCTTCGCAGCGCACATGATTACCCAACTCCAAGTGCACAAATCCGCATCTCGTCATCTCGTCCCCTTACGACGCTCAGATCCAGAACATGAGCAACAACTAAGCGACGGATCCGAAATGCAAGCGCAAGCGGGAGGTGATCGGATTGGAGAAGCACGCCAACTCCCCCCGAGATCTAGGCGAGTGGAAAGGCCGCCGAAGGGACAGGGCAGTGCGGGTGACGGGAGGAGCACTCACCGCGAAGGGATTGACGTTGTCGTCGTCGTAGCCGTTGCGCCCGTGCTTCCCCGCCATCGCCGCCTCCTCCTCCTCCGGGCCTCCGGCGTCGGGTGGTGGCCAACCGATGCTACCTGCTAGTGCCGCGCTGCTACCTGCCGCGCTGCCCTGCCTTCGACTTCGAGTATGCAGAAAGGGAAACGACGGGGGCTGTGAGGTTCGTAGTCAATGACAGGTGGGGTCAGGTAAGTCTGTCCGGTGGCCCCGGGGATCCAAGAGGCCAGACTGGCCGTACGGTGCGGGACCTTGTTGCTTGTTTGGCGTGGCGTCGCTTTTCCGTCGCAAGGTAAATTTTTGTGTTCTGTGGCACTTGTAGAATTCAAACGGATTAGACGAGATAAATATCTTGTTCGCTTAAATATATCAGTTATACAGTGTTTTTCTCTCTCAACAAAATAATATCAGTCGGTATCAGTTGTAGCCGAAAATCAATCAATTTATACGAGAGCTCTCGCATTGACTGTATCAAATGTACCAAAAATTGAAGGAGCCCAGACTGTCTGTTGTTGAGTGCCCTCGTACTAAAGCGTAGGATATCATCAAGTTCGTCTCTACCAGCAAACTGGGGATTAGTGTACATGCATATACGCGAGTATCTATACCGGAAAAAAAGCAAGATTTACCAGCCAAGCTTAGTCATTTTGATGTGTTTATAGAAGTAGGGTGGTTCTCAAAGGTGTGCTCAGTCCTTTGAAAGTGTTTAAAGAGATAGAATGTGTCCGTGTGTATTTATAGACGAGTGTATGTTGTATGTGAGCATGTGCTTTGCACTTAGTTTCGCCAAGAAAACAAGATTCGCTTGTCCAACTTGGTTCTTTAGAGGTAGGTCGGGTGCACTCGTAGATAGGTTATGCTCAGAGGTGTTGCATCGAGATTTGTTGACCAACTCAGTTCTTCGAAGATGCCAGAGGTATGCAACATATGTCGAGGGGAAAAAAATACAACACTTATTCTAGTCAAACGTCACAGGAAAAGAAATCATGGTACTTAATTTCTAGTCCCGCAACACTAGCAGGTGTCGTCGTCATGCGTGCGACCCTCACTTGCTTGACGCGCCCGTGTAGACCTTCTCCCAATGTGCACCGTGTTTAGGTCACCGCCGTCACTCACTCGCTATGCGCTGCACCTACCCACAGGTCGATGATCGCCGACGCCGGCGCGTGTAACACCCCGGTGTTATGCCTACATTTAGGCACTGCAAATCATGCATATCATGCATCACCAAGCATCCTAATCATACATGCATAATCTTGCCTATAATAACTGAAACATTACTTGAAAAACATCTGAAACATGTTTGTGAAACGTAAATGATGCATACACTTATTAGAGTTGTTTTGCTCGATTCTTGCTTGCTAGGTTAGTAGAACATGTTTGGCTGCTATTGTAAATCATCTAGCAATGTTTAGTTCAATTTTTGGAGCAATGTTTGTATTCAATTTAATTCAAAATTGGCTTCAAAAATAAATTCCAAAAATTAGGGTTTTGAGCTAAACGTGGACTTTGATCTTCCAATTCAAAATCTAGAAAGAATTTGGTGTGGTCCTAAAAGCAAAGTTGTAGAGAATTAAATTCTAAGCAACTTTCATTTTTGGTACATTTTCAAAAGAGGTCATCTTCTTACTCAAAATAAGATTTGAAAGCTGGCTTTTAAAAAAAAAAGTTCTTGAAAATATAAATGAAAAAGATGTTTTTACTGTTGGCGGACGCCGCGCTCCAGCACAGCCCGCCAAGCCGACCCAATGAGCCTCCTCAGCTTGCCTTCTCTCCTCGCCTCGGCCCATTGACCAAAGAAGGCTTTGCCGCCTGCCGCTTCCTTTGCCGCGCCGCCGAGCCAAGGCCCGTCCATCGTGAGAGCGCTGCGCCATCGCCCATCGCCCCGCCTGCTTGCGACCGACAACGCCGCCGCCACAGCGACACGGCACGGCTTCACCTCCACGCTGCCTTCGCCGCCTTGTGGTAGCTCTCTCCTCTCCTCGCTTTCGCCGCCTTGTCTCCTCGCCTCTGCTCTCAGAAGAAGAATAAGCCTACGCCGCCACCGTCGTGTTGCCCCCGAGGCGACGTGCTCCACCGCCCGGTGCTTCATTCTTCGATTCATCTCGCCGGAGCTCGCCTCGCCTTAGCTCCTTCGCTTGCGCTCACTCGTGGGCGCCATCGTCAAGGTAAGGGCCGAGCTCGGCCGTCCCCCTTTCTCGCCGGTGCCAGGCTGCCGTGGTGGTCGCATGGAACGCCACGACGGCGGGCCACCTCTAACCTTCCGTAGGTGCGGCTCGCGTGGGGAGCCCGCTGATACCGCCTGCATCTTGAGGAGCTCGCCGCCGATGAGCACCGGCCGGCGGAGCGCCTCCCGCCTGGTGGTGATTGCGAGGCTCACCGGTAGCGATGGCGTGGCCTTGCCGTGAAACTAAGCTAGGCCAGCTGGCTTGGGCCGAGCCCCGAGCCAGCCGCCGCTGCCCCTCTTCGCTCGGTCTGAGCAGGCCGGCTGTGGCCGTGGGCGGTGCATCCATGAGGCCGCCCGATGAGAGAGTTTTGAAGAATTGATTTCCATTTATTCATTCTTATTTGAAAGCGAAATGGTTTGCAAAATATTTGGATACTCAAAGTTGCTCCAAATTTGTTGAAACAAATTTTGCTAGGTTCCTTATCACCAGATCTACTTGGGAAAAATAGTGCATGTCATTTTGATATACTTTTCTATAGGATTTTATTTAATCTTGAATATTGCTGATAACTTGAAAAATATGTAGAAAAATATATAGGCTTCAGAAAAATATGATTCCAAGTTTGTTAATCTTATTATGTCATGTACTTCCTAGGAAAAATATGTTTCATGCATGTGCTGTGGGAAAAATTTGAGGTGTAGTTTAAGTACCTTAGATGGCTGATTTTTGTTATTTTTTGCTAGAGAGCAAAATTTGTATAATACATGCATGTGGTAATTTTTGTATAGTGATTATTTACTGTTTAGAATCTAGGAAAAATACTAATTCTGTTGTTTGACACTTTTCATAGTACAAAGTAATTTCATGCTCATTTTATGCTATAGCTTGTCATTTTTGTGTAGGATAGTTTACTTATCCAAATGCCATGAAATTTTTATGGTAGTCTGTTTAGGGTAGTATTATGCTACTGTAATTTTCTCAGATTTTAGGAACATCAGAAATATAGGTTGCTATTCAAACCTATTATTAATTAGGGTTTAAGCAAGTATTGCCTTAAGTGTGATTAAGAAATTAGTAAAGCTTTGGTGTATCTTTGAAGCATTTATTAAAATATGTTGACTTAACATATGGGTAGTAGAAGAGAATGCAGTAGATGACATGTGCTTGTAGCCTAGTTTCTTGGATGATGTTGTCTACCTTGCCTTTCAACATATTCATTGCATTCATCTCCTTCGATGCACCGATTGCATAGGCACTTACACGCATTGCATCATACAGGATCGCAAACCAAGAACCCGATCGTCATTCCCGAGGAGCCCGAGGAGCAGTTCGAGGTGCAGTGCGAGAAGTGCGAAGCCGACGAGGAGGACGTTGAAGAACTTCCGAGTGCCCCGATCACCGTCCGAGCTCCTTCGAGAGAGGCAAGCCCGAGCATCTTTCTCCCGGTTTGCAATGATTTCGTTAAATGCTTTACTTTAAATTGATGCATTACGTTCAGGAGTTGTTTGCAACCGTTCTTTGCATTATACCTTGTTTACCTTTGTTATACTATATCCTTGTTACCACGGTATCCATGATCGAGTCAATGCTTAGTCGGCTTAGGACCGGTAGAAGTCGGGTGATTTCTGTCACCTGCGAGCTATAGGTGGTTACTGGATCTGTTTGGATGGCTATGAAGTCATGGTATAACTAAGTGTTAAATGAAGTTGAGACCGAGGCGGAGACTTGCGGGGTTTTGGATTGTAGTGTTTCCGTGCTCTGTGTCGATTAGAGGACCGACCGTTGTTGGGCCTCGAGTCATGTTGAACGCATGCCTTACATTTAGCTGGCCGGATAAAGTACCTTCCGACCATGAAAATTTGGGAGATTTTTCGGGCCGAGTAGATTGCCCGCACACGCCTTGTCAAGAAAGCGGTGTGTGTGGTAGGACACGGGCGGGATGATAAGACCAAAGTGCGCGGTCGGTCGGCCCCGGTACATGTGGTTCTGGCAAACTCGAGATACGGAAAGTTGACTCGGTGATCAATATCTCACTTTAGCGGGTGAGTGAGATTTGTGTAAGGAATAAATCACCGGTGGTTAGGAATCGATTGAATCGCCATCGCTCTGGATAGTGAGCACTTGACTTGAGTGACTTCATCGTAGTAAATGTTTATGGAACACTTGGGCGGTTATAGTGAATATGACAAGATATGGAAGTTGTTTAATGATCGGTGGTTATCATTAATTGCTTAATCACATGTTTACTTTAGTATAGGTGCAAATCTAGTCGACAGGTTAATAATAATTAACTTGACAATAATGCTTTTAGAAAGGTTCTTGAAATGCTAAAAATGCTTCTTTTCGCAAATGAGTCGGACTACCCTACTATAATGCCCTGCATAATCCTTGGTGTCATTTATTTTTCGGTTATGTCGGAGAAGAAAATTTTGAGTACATTCTCGTACTCGTGGTTTTATTCCCACTTGTTGCGAGATGGGCGGATGTACTATGGCTATTGTATCAAGCGCCTCTATCCTGCGATGGGTGATGCTTAGGACCATGGGCATGGTCATTCCTTACGTCTCATCTAATGCTTTTGTTGGAGATGATCATCACGGTGGCACTATATTTGAACTCCGTGTGAGTGTGTGTGGTTTTAAACAAATGACTTCCGCTACTTTTTATTCGAACTTGTTTTGTAATAACTTTTATTTAAAACTCGATGTATCGTTATGGAAACTTTTATGTAATATGTGATTGGTGACCGCTAAACTTATTACGATCATGGTTGGGACACGAGTTGGTTTGAAATCCTTCGTGATTTTCACGGACTACCGGGTTATACGGGCTTAAGTTTGCTCAATAAATGCGCGC